TTCTATTTAAAGCTCTATAAGTAACACCTCAAGACAGAGCTGTCTCAGTCAGATGATATTGAGATTAAGAGTGATATCAAATATCTTATGAAGAAAATATTGAACAAGTGAATACATTACAGCAAGCTTCAATACCTTATTAAATGAGAAGAATATTCATTGTCAGAGAATTCATGAGAATCACTTAAGCATTTGAAAAATGCTGAGAAAGAGATTGCAATCTATGAGACAGCTAGTAGAGACTGTTCTGTTACATATCAGAGATGTTGAGTAAGAAACACTGCTTAAGACTTCTCATTTTTCTCAAAGAGTTTTTTAGAGATAATCTTATAAAGATAAGTCAGCATCTTGTAGACTCTGTAGCACTCTTCTTCTATTTTCTCTCAAAGAGTTTTTAGAAGTTTAATAAGACTACACAAGTGTAAAATTTCTGAAGCAGTTAAAAGAAAAGAAATATTTGAAATTAATAAAAAGATTAATATTATCAACTCACAGATCACTGCTAATCTAATAAGGCTGCAGCTTGCTGAAAAAGTAAAAAGAGAGAATCTCAGAGTCTACTCATCAATAATCACATTCTTATCAAACTTATTCTTCATTATTGAAGTCTTCAGTACTGATATCTTTATCTGCTGAGAAGTTAGCACTGCAGCATCACAGAAGAGCAGAAGAAATGCATGAAATATTAACTTATTAACTTACAAAGCATCTCAGTCATCTGCTTCAATTAAAGTGAGATTCTCTTCAATCAGTGATTGATCTCTGCAGCACTTTCAATGATAATACTGACTAATCTCTTCTTAAGATTAGTTATTCTGAGATGTTTTTTTATCTTGAAGATTCATGCTTTCATCTTCTTTTACAGATGAGTAAGAGAGATCTTCTCAGTCTTAATAGAATTTATTAACACTTAAAGCTTCAAGATTCTCACTCTGTACTACTTGAGTATTTAGACTTCTTATCAGAACTGACACAATGTCTTTCTGTGAGATAATACTTATAGAGAGATAGAAGTCATTGTTACAGATACAATAAAAATAACAGAAGTAAGAGAAGAAATGAGTGTATAAAATCTCTCTCTTCTTCAGCTGCTTGACACAGTGTAGATAAATAGTGATATCAGTCAGAGACTGCACTGAAGCCTTCTCATAGAGAGAAGATAAAGAAACTGTGAGACTCTGCAGACTCAACTCAGCAGTATTCTGAGCAGGGCTTAAGTATGCTGTGAGAGAGAAACTACAGATTGAGCTTCTCAGAGCTACTGTCTCTGAAATCAAGCTCTCTCCAGGTTTCTCTCTGAATGATCACATGAGGTTATACATCACTGTATTGACTGAGGAGAGAGGCAGCATCACAACAGTAGTGAGAGAAGCAGAGAATGAATCAGACATAGACAAACTGACTGACAGAAGAAATAACATCTCACTACAAGACACAGTGACTATTATCATAGCTGTAAAAGAAGCAGGAGAAGAAGAAGATGTGACAATGAGAGCAGTGCTCCTGCAGCTCATTGACACTGCTGTCTTCACCTTCAACCTGGCTTTCTTGACAGCTATGGAGGCCGCCACTGCATCACAAAGACATTTACTCACTAGAAAACATCAGAATAAGTTCTCTACTGTTCTTCAAGAATGATACTCCCATGCACTCACTATTACAGATGAGAGAGGGGAGAGAAAAATATGTCATAGAGAGAGAGAATCTTTTTGAAAAAATCCTGCTACTACTGTTAGCTTTGTCTCTAAAACACATCACTTTTGCAGAGAATTTCATATATAGAATGAAATATATTGAAAGATCTGTAAGTCACTTATTAACTATGTTTTTTCACATTTTAAATTAATATATAAGAAACTCACTTATCATGCATTTAATTTGAATAAAGATGAGAAAAGAAAGATCTACACAGTTAGCAGAAAAACTCATCTATTTCTTTGTATCACATGCAGTACACACACTGTCAATTAGTTAGTAACTGTTGCTATACAACAAAGATACTTTCTAATTCAGTAATCTTAAGAGTATAGAGACTATGCTCTTAAAGAGAAGAACATTGTCATGCTCTCAGCTGTATCAAGGCCCTGCTGCAGTTTTACACAGCTTATCACTTTCATGTGAATAATTTCATTCATCCCGCAGGCCATCTGAACTGGTTTTCAATCACTCTATGATATTATTCAGATATATCATAGAAAGATCTGATTGATGAATATGAGAACCTCACTTCTATACAAGGTCAGCAGATTACTTTTCCTTAGTAGTGAGACACTGCTGAGATATCACTCTGGCTATTCTCACTCAAGAAATGAGAGAAGGTATTTCCTCATTATCTATATAGAATAGCTAGATGCTGGCTTCTTATAAAAGAAGTCAGTGATTCATTTTACTTCTACTGAAATATACACAAGAGTTACTATGTGTCTTATACAATCTTCTTAGTATACTAAGTATCATATCTGTGATATCCTTGTAATAACCCTGTAGCCTACAAGCTCGCTATTCAAGCAAGATAGTCAAGCTCACTCATACAGCTTCTTAAACAACTACTTCTACGTGTCGCCGCCGACTAGTCACTGCTTCGGTTCCGCCACGTTACATAGCAGTAGCTAATTCTTTTCTTTTAAATGAGATAGTCTCATTCCATCAAGGTTTTGAATACTCAGAAGATTTTCTTTTTAAAATATTATCTCTAACACTTGTTAGAATAATAGATGTAATAAGCTTCACTCTATTCTCAAGCATTTCATTTGAGATATCTTGACCAGAATTTCAATATAGCTCATTCTGTCTTTCAGATTTTAACAGTTTTATACTTTCTTCAACTGCTTTTCAATCAGCTTTTTCAAAGTTATACTGATTAGAGAGAAGAGGATTTTCACTCATTTGTTTTTCACTCAGTTCAATATTAAATTGAATAATCTCATGACCTGATTCTGATGTCTCATTTGAATCAATAAATCAGTTTACAAGTCTTCTTTTCATTAGATTTTGTGACATGAATATTAGATCTATAATAGACTTCTGTTTCATGTCTTTTCTAAAGAATGTTTGTTGATCAGACTTATTAATCAAATCTATTGAATGCTCAAAGATTTATTCAATCAGATTATCAGCTCTCACTGCTCTCTTGCATTCTGAATTTCATCAGAGATGATGTGCATTGAAATCTCCTGCAATTATAGAGTTTCTTAATAAAGTTATGTTTAAAAATCCTCTATCAATTGTTCAGATATTGTTATTTTTCTTCAATGACTTTTCATTATAGATATTTATAAGCTGTATAGTATCAAACTCATTTTCTTTGTCTATAATATCACTCACCAGAATATCAGGGTCAGACATGATATCAAATCTTAGATTAAATTAATATCTTGATCTCTTTCTTTCATAGATCACTACTCTTGACTTTATCTCAGACTTTTGAGATAAAAAGCAGTAGTAGCTTGAATGAGAAATGACATATTTTTACTCAGCATTAAAATTCAGCTTCTGAAGCAGTATAAAATTAACTTTTTATTCAAATGCAATTTAAAGACAAGAATAAATGCAATTTGAGTTTCTATTCACATTATTTTGAATAAATGTGATTTTTGAAGAGTTTTTAAACTTTTTTTGTTATTTTTGTTGTATATTCATACTAAAAGAGAGTAGAGTAGAGTCTAATCTCTATCATCAGATAGTAGATTATAACTGTTCTGAAAAGTAGAAATCTCAACTGCTTATATTATATCTTGTTTATTATCAGAGTCATTTCTCAATTCTCTAATCTTAACAGAAGTTTGAGAATTCAAATTCTATTTACATTTTACTGAAGAATTGAAGTTTGAAGACTTAGATAATTAAGAGTTTCTTCTTTTTGAGCTTGCAGTTATGAGTTTACTAGCTTGACTCTTCTCTTCAGTTCTAGATTGACTTTGAGCTTCATCTTTTCTCCAGTTCTTTTAAGTTCTAGGAGTAAACATACATTCTTTTGAGCTAGATGCATGTTTTTCTTTGCAATTAGAGCACTTAAGCAGAGTATATTGACAAATTTCATCTCTTTTTGAGCATGTTTCACATTTATACTCACTAGTTTTGTGATCTCTGGCACAGAATGCATATTTTAAGTCTCTAAAACATAAGATTGCAAAGTGTTCATATCTTTGACAGTTTGAACACTGTGTTTGAGCTTTGAGATTCATTCTCAAGTCTTTGTATTCATGAACTCTCATTTTCAAACCTGCTACTCTTACTTCAGAGATCTTTGACTGTTCAAGTGTTTTTATATATACTAGAACAGAGACATTTCTCCTGCTTTATCTGAACTCAATTGAATTTAGTCATATAGACTTCTTTCTCAGTTGAATGAAGTTATATTCTTTCAATTCATTTTTGAGAAGTAGTATTTCTTCTTCACAGTCAAAAATTTCAACTGAAATATCATGAAGAATGAATTTGTCTCACTTTTCATCTCTTTCAGATAGAATTGTTGTGTTTAGCAAAGATTTTACTGCTGACTTTCAGAGATTCTCATTCTGAATAAGGAATTCAGCACTGAATTCAGACATTGTAGTCAGAATGATGAAGTTTTCAAAGAATGATAACTCAATTGAAGCTATAACTGATTTTTGAACTTTAATATCAGTCATCAACTGAGAAAAGAACTGCTGATTAATTTCATTTCTAATTCTGAAAATGAGATTTGAGTTTAGCTTGTTTCTTTGCAGAATGTCCTGATTTGAGACTTTGAGAATAAGTCTTCTATTTCTGAAGATTTGAAAGTTTTTCTCTTTTTACATTTTCTTTTTCACTTTTCTATGAATAGAGGTATGAGCAGTATTCTTCTCAGTTTTCTCAGAATTTTGAGCAGGTTTTGAGACAGCAGATTTAGAGACAGCAGATTCAGCTGCTTGAGCATATGTTTTCTTCTAATTCAAAGAAGAAGAAGAAGTAGAAAGAAAGAAAGAAGAAGAGTAAGATGAAGAGTCAGTAATTGTACTAGGAATTTTCAAGGTTTTTTAAACTGTGTTTGAGATTTCAAGTTTGAACTTGATCATCTTCTGTAGTTGTCTAGCCTGAGTATGAAGAATTAACAGAACTTCTTCATTCATCTCACTCAGACACTGCTTTTCAAGAATCTTGCTTGCTTTTTCAAGTTCCTGTATTTCAAGAACTTGTTGTTTCTCTATTTCTTCTTTCTTTCTTCTCTTCAGAACTTCAATCTCAGAAATAGCATTTGAGAAAGCATCTTGTTTCACATCAACTGAGTGTATTTTTGAACTCATTGTTTTCACTCAATGAAAAGTTGGTCAGACTGTTTCAATTGAGATATTTCTAAGTCTGTTTTCAATTGAAAAGTTGGTCAGACTGTTTCAAAAGAAGAATAAAAGACTTTTGTGTATAAAACACCTGATTTTTTTCACACTAGTTCAGTAACTAGGTTAGATTTTTGAAGAGAATCTAATAAACTAAAATTGATTTTTAAGATAAATCAATAAAATCTTTACAATCTCTTTCTTGAGATACAGTGAGGAAAAGTATGATATCAATTAATAATAAATCAGATGATATGACAGTTTTTGAGAGAAAAACTGACAAAAAATAAATCAATTTTTTGCAGAGAAATTGATTAAAACTATTCAATTTTATTCTAAATCATTCAATTCTTCTCACACAACAAGTGTGCAACTCAAATCAGTTAATAAAGAGTGTAAAAAAGAATTAAGTATTAATGAAAGCTCTTCAGCCACTGAAAAAGTAATTCTTACTTAAAAGAATATAAAATTATGACAGAAAACAACTGTAATGTGACGGAACCGAAGAGGTGACTAGTTGATGATGACATGTAGAGGTAGTTATTTGAGAAGCTGTATAAGTAAGCTTGACTATCTTGCTTGAATAGTGAGCTTGTAGGCTACAGAGTTATTGCAAGAATATCACAGATATGATACTTAGTATACTAAGAAGATTGTATGAGACACGCAGTAACTCTTGTGTATATTTCAGTAGAAGTAGAAGAAATGAATCACTGACTTCTTTGATGAGAAGTCAGCATCTAGCTATTCTATATAGACAATGAGCAGATACTCTTCTCTCATTTCATGAGTGAGAATAGTCAGAGCAATACCTCAGCGGTGTCTTATTATCAAGAAAGAGTAATCTGCTGATCTCATATAGAAGCAGAGTTCTTATATTCATCAATTAAATCTTCTCATGATATATCTGAATGATATCATAGAGCAGTTGAAAACCAGTTCAATCAGCCTGTGAAATGAATAAAATCATCTGCATAAAAGTGATAAGCTGTGTGAAACTGCAACAGAGTTTTAGCATGACTGAGAGTGTGATAATACTCTTCTCTTTAAGAGCATAGTTTCTATGCTCTTAAGATTATTAGATTAGAAATTATCTTTGTTGTATAGCAATAGTTATCAACTGATTGACAGTGTGTGTGCTGTGCATGATATAAAGAAATAGATGAGTTTTTCTGCTGACTGTGTAAATCTTTCTTTTCTCATCTTCATTCAAATTAAACATGTGATAAGTGAGTTTCTTATATATTGATTTAAAATATGAAAAATGTAGTTAATAAGTGACTTGCAGATCTCTTAATATATTTCATTCTATGTATAAAATTCTCTGCAAAAGTGGTGTGTTTTAGAGACAAAGCTAACAGTAGTGACAGGATTTTTCTGAAAAGATTCTTCTCTCTTATGACACATTTTTCTCCCCCTCTCCCTCATCTGTAATAGTGAGTGCATGAGAGCATCATTCTTGAGAGACAATAAGGGGCTTATTCTGACATTTTCTAGTGAGTAACAAATGTCTTTGTGGTGCGGCCGCGGCCTCTGTGACTGTCAAGAAAGCCAGGTTGAAGGCGGAGGCAGTGGTGTCACTGAGCCACGGGAGCACCACTTCTATTGCCACACCTTCTCCTCCTTCTCCTACTTCTCTTGCGGCCGCGGCAGTTCTGCCGGTCAGTGTGTCTGCATCCGGTCTGTCCCCTGCCCCCCCTGCCGCTGTTGCGACGCCCCCCCCCCTCTCAGCCAATATGATGGTGTATGACCCTGTGTGATCATTCAGAGAGGAACCCAGAGAGAGCTTGATTCTGAGAATAGTGGCTCTGAGAAGCTCAATCTGTAGTTCCTCTCTCATGACACATCTGAGCCCTGCTCAGAATGCTGCTGAATTGAGTTCACAGAGTCCTGCAGTTTCTTTGTCTTCTCTCTGTGAAGAGGCTTCAGTGTGATCTCTGACTGATACTACTACTTATCTGCACTGTATTAAGCAGCTGAAGAAGAGAAGAATTTTATGTATTTATCTCTTCTCTCACTTCTGTTATTTTCATTGTATCTGTAACAATGACTTCTATCTCTCTGTAAATATTATTTCACAGAAAGATATTATATTAATTCTGATAAGAAGTCTAGATACTTAAGTAGTACAGAGTGAGAGTCTCAGAGCTTTAAGCATTGATGAATTTTATCAAGACTGAGAAGATTCTTCTTACTTATTTATAAAAGAAGATGAAAGTATGAATCTCTGAGATAAAAAAACATCTCAGAATAACTAATTCTAAGAAGAAGTTAACTGATATCACTGTTGAAAGCACTGTAGAGATTAATCACTGATTAAAGAGAATCTCACTTCAACTGAAGTAGATAACTGAGATGCTTTATAAGTTAATAAGTTAATATTTTATACATTTCTCATACTCTTTTATAACACTGTAGTACTAACTTCTCAGCAGACAAAGATATCAGTGCTGAAGACTTCAACAGTAAAGAATGAGTTTAATAAGAATATAATTATTAATGAGTAGGCTCTGATCTCTCTTTTTACTTTTTCAGCAGGCTGCAGCCTCATTAGAATAGCAGTGACCTGTAGATTAATAATATTAATCTTTTTATTAATTTTAAATATTTCTTTTCTTTTAACTGCTTCAGAAATGTTACACTTGTGTAGTCTTATTAAACTTTTAAAAACTCTTTGAGAGAAAATAGAAGAAGAGTGCTACAGAGTTTAGAAGACACTGACTTATCACTGTGAGATTATCTCTAAAAAATTCTTTAAGAAAAATAAGAAGTTTCAAGCAGTATTTCTTGTCTAATGTCTCTAATATGTAATAAAGTGATCTCTACTAGCTGTCTCATAGATTGCAATCTCTTTCTCAGCATTTTTCAAATACTTAAGCAGTTCTCATAAATTCTCTGATGATAGATAATCTTCTCATTTAATAAGATATTAAAGCTTGCTTTCGCAACCTTCACAGTTCACCGCCAGTGTATCTAGACTTCAACACCAAGTCTCACCTCTGTACTACCCCTCTCAATCTGGCCCATTCTCAGCAGAATGATACAAAAAGATACCTCGGCAACAGCATTCAATACATAATCAGTGAACAACGAGTCAACAGTACATCAACAACTATAAAATCAGTATACTTCAAGGTCTGACTGAGCCTTTGATCCCTGCACAGTGAGATATATTAAATCTAGTTTTAATACCTCAATATTCAATAGATTCTGCAAGGGATTGAGAACAGCAACACTAGGTTTCTATTGAATTTGAGAATTAACTCTATATTGATATAATCATTGACAAAGTCTTCTATTTTGAGATATAAATAACCAGTTCCTCTACATCCCGCTGGCAATATTTATATTATCATATAGAAACAGACTTATATTCTCTATAATATCAAGACCCTGAAGAGGGAAAGTCTTGGTAGGGAGTATACAGTAGTGCATATCTTAGCAGTTTCTATCTTATTCTTCTGCAGCAGTTAATGCAAAAAAAAAAGATCTTAGAAATAGTTTTTTACTTCTCTTGAAAAAGTAAGGTGTTTTTCTCTGGGTTTTACACAATATTCTTACAAAGAATTAAAAACAGAGTTGTTTTCTGTCATAATTTCATATTCTTTTAAGTAAGAATTACTTTTTCAGTGGCTGAAGAGCTTTCATTAATACTTAATTCTTTTTTACACTCTTTATTAACTGATTTGAGTTGCACACTTGTTGTGTGAGGAGAATTGAATGATTTAGAATAAAATTGAATAGTTTTAATCAATTTCTCTGCAAAAAATTGATTTATTTTTTATCAGTTTTTCTCTTAAAAACTGTCATATTATCTGATTTATTATCAATTGATATCATACTTTTCCTCACTGTATCCCAAGAAAGAGATTGTAAAGATTTTATTGATTTATCTTAAAAATCAATTTTAGTTTATTAGATTCTCTTCAAAAATCTAACCTAGTTACTGAACTAGTGTGAAAAAAATCAGGTGTTTTATACACAAAAGTCTTTTATTCTTCTTTTGAAACAGTCTGACCAACTTTTCAATTGAAAATAGACTTAGAAATATCTCAATTGAAACAGTCTGACCAACTTTTCATTGAGTGAAAACAATGAGTTCAAAAATACACTCAGTTGATGTGAAACAAGATGCTTTCTCAAATGCTATTTCTGAGATTGAAGTTCTGAAGAGAAGAAAGAAAGAAGAAATAGAGAAATAACAAGTTCTTGAAATACAGAAACTTGAAAAAGCAAGCAAGATTCTTGAAAAGCAGTGTCTGAGTGAGATGAATGAAGAAGTTCTGTTAATTCTTCATGCTCAGGCTAGACAACTACAGAAGGTGATCAAGTTCAAACTTGGAATCTCAAACACAGTTCAAAAAACCTTGAAAATTCCTAGTATAATCACTGACTCTTCATCTTGCTCTTCTTCTTTCTTTCTTCCTACATCTTCTTCTTCTTTGAATCAGAAGAAAACATATGCTTAAGCAGCTGAATCTGCTGTCTCTAAACCTGCTATCTCAAAACCTGCTCAAAATTCTGAGAAAACTGAGAAGAATACTACTCATGCCTCTATTCATAGAAAAGTAGAAAAGAAAATGCAAAAAGAGAAAAACTTTCAAATCTTCAGAAATAGAAGACTTATTCTCAAAGTCTCAAATCAGGACATTCTGCAAAGAAACAAGCTAAACTCAAATCTCATTTTCAGAATTAGAAATGAAATTAATCAGCAGTTCTTTTCTCAGTTAATAACTGATATTAAAGTTCAAAAATCAGTTATAGCTTCAATTGAGTCATCATTCTTTAAAAACTCCATTATTCTGACTACAATGTCTGAATTCAGTGCTGAATTCCTTATTCAGAATGAGAATCTCTGAAAGTCAGCAGTAGAATCTTTGCTAAACACAACAATTCTATCTGAAAGAGATGAAAAGTGAGACAAATTCATTCTTCATGATATTTCAGTTGAAATTTTTGACTGTGAAGAA